TTTTTATCTACCTCACAGTCTTTTCTTGTTGAAAGCAGAGAAGAAAATAAAATTTGTATTCCAGTGGTAGAAGTATCGGTATTGGTAATCGGTATCTGCGAGTATTCAGATCTAAGTATCGGTATCGTATCGGTTTGGAAAATGTGGTATCGTTGCACCCCTAACTGTAATGCATCTTGATGTTCTTAACAAATAAATTAAATCAAAGATATTGGTCAATAATGCCAAATATGTAAATTTGTGTTTCAGTCATTTTTATACTGGCTTAAAAATACTTCATTAAGTCTACTAAGCAGGGGTGTAGAACGTGCTTAATAGGGCCAGCCCAGTAATGATCTAGGACCAAAATAAAGGGAGCAGAAAGTCAAATAAAGGGGGGCAACAGGAGATGTTTTTCCATACGCCAAGAAAAATTAAATGCCAAACCCCCCCTGTAAAGTGTGTCACTGAGAGTTTTAAACAAAAATTATTTTTGTGCAAATATTGGTGTATTTATCTTTAATACTAGTTATTAAAATGCAGCAGTTGCTGGATTGGTGCAGTTCAAAGTGGAGTGCATCAAATAAAACAATATTAACATAAAGGTGAGACGTGTCATAATCCCCCCCCCCCCCCCACCCACCCACACACACACACACACACACACACACACACACACACACTCACACACAGCTGGAAAATTTCCAAGGGGAAACACTGATTACATTGCTATTTTGCATACAGACAGTTGATAAAATTGTTGATAATCTTTTATTAAATAAAGATAAACGTACAATAATCACTCAGAAACATGACATTAACAAATAAAACATGGTCATAAAAAACAAGACTAGATTTTGACAAGCCACAGTGCCTTTTAGACTTGTAGCCAGTGTCTGTTGGACCAATGAGACAAATCTGGAGGCTTTTGGCAAATGACACTAGCTCTGTTAACAGAGACCAAATAAAAAATATTCTTTCGAACAATAGTTCAAAAGCAATGTCTGATTTTAGAAAAGTACCAACAAGTCCGTCCACATCTGTAGCTATTTATCGATCAATCTATCAAAGTGTTACTGAAAATAAGACATTGCTTTTGAATTCTTGTAAGGTTAATTCAGCTAATTAAACAAGTGGAATGACATCAGATTGATTTTATTCACTTCCTCTAAAAGTTGACTTGAGTAGAAACTGTCCATGTGGTCCTATCAGCTTTTTAAATGATACAGCTGAGTAACACTAGAAAACAATACAGCTGAGATAAACAGACTAAACAGGCTACAACCTGTGCAGGTAGAGCATTATTCTGTACTGCAGTCAGTCTAGTGGCCATTTACTTCCTTAGCTGTTTACCTGTCCTCATACACAAGTCTGGTTTATATCTGCACATAAACGCTTGGGGTCGAGAAAGTATTAAAGTACTTGCAGAACAAAAGACTAAATCGTTATTTTTAAGAACTCAGGTGCACGTGTTTCCAAACTGCAGACAAAACTAAGTTTTATAATGTTCTCTCTAAAACCTCAAGACTACTGGTTGTATCAGACAAAGCTCTATTGAGTCCATGAAAGAGTGAAAATGGGCATGAGAACAGATATGCTAGAAAATAATCCTCTCTTGTTTCAACAGCAGTGGATCTTTTTTCTATGTGGGTCTTTCTTTGTGTCCATTATAGATGCGTCATAGTTTCCTTCGTTGCAAAATTGACTTGCGTCTGTTTCTGTGAGCCTGTTTTCTGATTTTTAGCTCGACCCTGTTCTTGTGCATGTTCATGCAACCACTTTTACTATTTGTTGGACTAAAACTACATTTTAGCAGTGTGTCAAAAAGGCTACAGAGAGCCAGTTTACCAGTTTGAAGAGCTAATTAAGTGTTTGAGTCTGACCACCGAGTAAAAAGACATGGAGCTGAGATCTTTCTACAGGTTGTTTTTTTTACTCGTCACACTTCACATCTAGTAGCCCACCAGTTTGATTAGCATCTGAAATACTTCATATAAATTCTGACCAGTGCAAGGATTAGCAGTGTCTTGATTTTTGGCACCATCTGGCATTGAGATGTTCAAAAAGCTATTTACACTCACACACAAACAGAACTTAATTACTCACACCACCCAAAGGATAATAGTTTATTATCAGTCATAAAAAAGGGGCTTTTGTCATGTGTGGTTTGGCTGGTGTTAGAAAACCGTGTGTGTGTGTGTGTGTGTGTGTGTGTGTGTGTGTGTGTGTGTGTGTGTGTGTGTGTGTGTGTGTGTGTGTGTGTGTGTGTGTGTGTGTGTGTGTGTGTGTGTGTGTGTGTGGCTCTGTCAGCAGCTGGAGTGATGGTGACTCTTTAAACAAGTCTGAGTTTGTAGTGATGAAATTTACACCTGCCACAGAGCCAGCATGCAGAAGCCTGTCGGATCTGTTTGGACCTTAAAGTCCTCCAGTTGTTCATTTCAAATCTCGTTTACTTCAGTGTTGTGATGAGATTCACTCACATCGTTTGTCCTTGCACCTGAGATTAAGGTATTTTACTGTCCTGGTGCAGTTAGTGAGTATTAAAACAGCGTTTCCTCATTTCCACTCTGTTCTTCAGAAGCTGGCTGAAAATGTGTTTGTTTATAGTTTTCACCTCCTGCAGCTATAATTTTATTTCGTCCTCCTGCCTCTTAGCTGACTTGATCTGTTTTCAATTATGCTTGAGTTAGGAAGTACAGGAACAGTAAAGTTTTCACTGAACCAGTGGTGACAAAACAACCAACAACCTGTGAGTGGAGGCAGCTCTTTACTGCCTGAGAAGGTGATGAAACATAATATTGCCTCTTCCTTTGGAGAACCAGAGGGTTAGTTGTGCTCAAGCACTGGCTTGTTGGCGTAAACCTCAGATCAGCTTAAGCTATAAATCTCTCGTGCTGCTAATGCTGGGAATATTACTGTTAGCTCAGTGTTTTTCGCCATGAAATCACTATAAGGTGTTCCCTCCAGTTTGTCTTGGTTCCTTCTGAGCAGCTAGCCTCTGTTCATCACTAACGACCTCTTCCGTCTGTCCGACCTGTATATTCTGCCCAGCTACAACCTCTCCCATCAACAGCAGAGCCTCCCAAAGGAGCCCGGCTCCTCTCAGACTCTACAATGAGTTCAGAGCTCAGAATAACAGTCAGTCAAGAGAAGTGAATGTATGTCATTTGTTCACTTAAAATAGTGACTTTCAGCAGCATTTACCAGCTGTGACAGCAAGACTGGCATATATTATTATTTATTTATTTATTTGGATGTTTGTGGGTGTCATGATGGCAAAATTCACCCCAAGAACCAAATATTGTTGTGGTGACTACCACAAAGGTGGCAATGAGAGCTTTAATAATAGGGCTGCACAATGTTAGGAAAACCTGCGATAACCGTGAGTAATATTGCGATGACAATATGACTTGCATTAAACTAACGAACAAACAAAAAAATAAATCAAAACAAAGAAATTCAAAAATATCATAAAAATGGGAAAAATTGTGATCAGTGAATCCTGGGAAAAGCAGAATCGACTGAAAGAGCAGAAAGACGCTAACTTTGGTGTTTCCTAGCCACCCAGATTAGGTTCCGTCGCCTAGGGGGCGGCCATCTAACCTATATGAACCCACCCTATTGGCCAAATGGGTGAAGCTCTCTTTTTGATTTGTCAAAAGCTTCATGCTTCCATTTGACTGGAAAAATACATTATGTGTAGCAAACATTTGAGCTGACCATTTGTTGCGTTTTCTTCTGTTCTTTGCGATATGCGTATTTGCGTTTGCAAGATTATACCAACATCAGAGATTGGTGTCCACGTGGGAAGCTACAAGTTAAAATGACAGGTACAATATATTGCACAAGTTCAGATTCTTAATTTCTGATTATCCAGTAATAACTAAGTTTATACAGATTTACCTTCTATCATTTCCAAGTCTGGATCAGCTCGAATTGCCTCTGTTTCAGAGCAGAGACGGCTCACAGCTGCTCTCAGTTATCTTAGCCTCTGACTCACCCAGGTTTATGTAACTTATTTACATTTTATCTGCGTTTGCTTTAACCCTCTGGAGGCAGGCGTTGCAGATTTGCAATGTTAAAACCTACCTACCTGGTTACTCCACATACGTATTTCATGAGCATTTTTTAACTCAGAAGCACCCCTGAAGGACTTAGCTGTTCGTCCTTTTATCTAAACCTATTTTGAGCCTGAGAGGGTTACGGTTAGTTTTAGTGTTCTGCATTTTTAGAATGAATGAATTCAAATGTTTACAAAGAAGTTTTAAAACCTAAACTCTGCTGAACACAAAATCCTTTATGGAGCAGAATTTAGTGGAATCCTAGAAGGTTTGGATTATTTCTCTAAGTGCGGTTTGTGTGCTGAACTATAGACAGAGCTCCATACATCACCACGTAACAGAAAAAACAAATCTGGGTCTTTCCTCTCTCAGTTCGTCCTCTGGAGTCCGTTACAGAGCAGCCTCAGTCTGAAGAGCCCTCTGTGAGACACCTCTGTTCTCTTTTCCAGCTTCACCCAACTCCAGCCATGGCTGCCCACATTTCCTGTCTTCAGTCCAGTCCAGGCAGGCTCTGTGCCTCTCAGCTGCCGTTCACCTCTGATCCCCTCTGAGTGTCTCACAGATCATTATGGTCACAGACTGATTTAGTTAGTGGGTCAATTGCACATCCAGGTGTACACTTGTACATCATGCGTGCATTTGTGGTTAATTATTGAACAGAAAACTCATAGAAAATACACAATATATTTATAACAATTAGCAACTGGTTATTTATACTGGATCCATGTTTTAATGGTACTTTGTTCATAGGTATCCTCCTATTGGTCATGATATGTGGGTGTTTCAAAATATGTGTGGGAGAACAAAATTAAAACTTTGGAATCTCTCAGCTGAGCGGTGGCATGCTTTAGAGAAATAGGGAGTACGTATTTTTGTGTTTGAATTCCAGCAAACCCTCTGTACACTTGTGTACGCATGGGTTTGTGGGTGTTAATTCTGATTGCGTTCTGTTTTTGTTTAAACACAAACCCGGTTAGGCAAGTAAGCTTTGGAACTGAGATGTCTGAGGCGCATGCAAAGCCAAATTCAAAACACATTTCTCTGGCAAATGAACTTCAGTCTCTGAGCTGCTGAATAGAAAGTCCTCACCAACAGAGAAACGCGTCATTGGAAAGGGGTGCCTTGTTTGTGTTTTATTATTTTTTTCTAAATGTTACACTGCAGACGTTGAAAAGTAGAAAAATAACTGAGATGAAGGAACAAATGTAACTAATCTAAGACTGGGTTCACGTCTGTAGAGGGTAAATATAGTTGCTTTTAAGCTTAATATATTACCTTTACTTATGACCAATAAGATGTGATCTTCTATATAAATATAGACTATCAACCTGCTTGGTCTTTGAATGTTTAATCAGAAGATTCTAGGATGCTTTGCTTTTTCAGGGATCAAACACACTTCGTATCAATTCAGACAGAGTCAGGTTTATAAAAGCAAGAAATTTATTTTCTAAACAAATTAAAACGAGACAAGTTAAATAGGACGACTGTGATGGATGAATCTAAATGGATGGAAGGTGAGATGTATGGTGATTGAATGGTGTGTGTTCATCAGAACCTTGCATCTAGAAGAACTGAGTTCTGGGTGAAAAGAATTTGGTCTGCATTAAGCTATGAAGTTGGTTCCTATCAAAACGGCATCAGACGCAATCATGCTGTGTTCTACGTACCCCTGAAGAGACTCCCTTTCGGATCCGAGATGTCGGGGGGTCGGCTGACCCCAAGGTACCGAAGTTCGTAGAAAAGACCGCAGTACGACCAGGTCGGTCCAGAGTCGTCTCCCGGATCACAACAGATAGATGAAATCGTTTGCGTCTAGAACAGCTGTTTCTGAATAGCTGAAGGAACCGTTTGCTGTGTCAGCTGTAGAAAGCTTTTAGCTTGTCGAAAGCTTGCCAAGAGATGCGATGGTTATAGAGTTTATTAAAAATGAATCTTTTAAATCTTGAAGTGTCCTTCGTCTTGCAGATGGAACAGCAGTCAGATAAAAGATGGTTTACAGCAGACTTTGTGTCTCCTGTGATGGATACCGTAAATCCTCTAATACAGGCCGGTATTCAATTAAAGGCCGGGTCTCCAATTTTGGCCGGTGTCGGAGTCAGCGGAGGTAAATAATGGCCGGTCTCTTATTGTGGCCGGATGGAATGTGGTAACAAGCAAGTACAAGCGTTCCAGCGGCAGGGTTATAGTCCCTAAATCAACCAGCAGGGGCAGTAGGGATTCACGCAGACATTTATTAGGCTTTTTCTTCAAGCTTTATAACGCTTCAGACACGATCCTCTATCACGCTCCTACCACACAGAGTCACGGTGTCAGTTAACCATGCTAATTCAACCCGCTCCACAGAACACACATCACCTTCCCTGTGGCTTACATAACACTCACACAACACGCAAATCAGAACATAGGAACTAGCAGAACGATAGGAAACACATATAACACAATACCCAGAATGCACCTGGCTTACAACCCCAGCCAGGTCATTACACTATCAAGTTCAAAGAGAACGTGCTGATTATGCTGCAGAACACTCTGGAGAGCAGCAGTAGGGGGTGTATGAACTACAGTAATCCCTTGTTTATTGCGGTAGATGCGTTCCAGACCTGGCCGCGATAGGTGAAAATCCGCGAAGTAGGGACTCCCAGCATGCCCCTCGCGGGGATTCCCTTCACGTCGCACCTACGTCACAAACCGCGGCTATAAACGGAAGTCGCCTTTACAGCTCAGTCATCGTTTCTTCAGATTCATGATCAGAGTTTCCAACCTACCGATCAATCCAACGAACTATCAGCTCATAGTAAGTTATCTTACTTACTTCTGGAAAGCCCGGCATTTCCGTGTCACTTCGTTGGCGCTCGAACGCTCGGGGGTTTCCTAGAGCAGCCGGCGTTTCACCGACGCTATCACTTCCGCGTCTGTGAAACCACACTCCCTATTGAATTATCGTATGATCACATTCTCTGTGATCAGCAATGCGCTGTGCCAGACCGTAGGTACTGACACGCGATCGTTCATGTCGGTTCATTTCCTTTGATGTTTTCTGTCTTTTATTTGCGCCTGATGCGTTTCGCTGCATGCTGTGGAGCGGGGCGGTGCGCGCATCAACTTGTCCTCCAACGCACTGATCACTGATACGGCCGCCAAACAGCAAGCGCTCCGCTGTTTTTGCGGTCGGTAGATATTTTAGAACTGCAGTTCAAAGGTAACTCATAAGGTGAATATATATGAACCCAGGCAGCAGTTTTTCTTTAGGATTGAGAGGAGATGCAGGAAGATAATAAACAGAAGGGACAGAAAAATAGTCAAATAAAAACAAGTTAGTTTTTGTACCTGCTGTTGCAACATACAGACACCATTGAAGGTCATCAGAAGTGAGGAACAGAAAATGAAATAATTATTTTAATGTTTAGAGCAGCAGGAACTCCGAGAGGCTGCAGGCGCATCAGTGAGTTTGCGGCTGCTGCGCGGGGGGAGGGGGGAGAGGGCTGAAGCAGAAACTACCGTTGTTAAAAGAAATGTGTTTAACTTTGAAAATGTGGGCACACTTTTAATTGTCAAAAACTCCAGCAAACCATTAGTTCATTTTGCTCAAATAGAAATAGATGCCTGCCTCTAATACTGGCCCTCCTTCCAATAAAGGCCTGGAGCTTGATGAGCTTGAGTCAAATACAGGCCCGGGCCTGTATTAGAGGATTTACGGTAATCTGTGAATAGAAGTACAGCTTGACCCAGCTGGGGAAGTGTGACCTTTGGGTCACAAATGAGGCCATTCATGTCGCTACATATATAATTCACAAACGCTTCTATCTTTGAACATAATTTGAACTAGATTATTGCCAACCCATACATAATAGAAATGCCACCATTACACTGTTCGCAGCAGAAATTAAATGTTATTACCATTTCCAGTACAAATGCATGTTAATGAAATGCATTATATTTTACTGGATATATTTATGTGTTATTTTGACTAAGATGAGTGTTATTAATACAAACCTAAAATGTTACTGAAATGTAGGTCAAATATTATAAATATCAGATGGAAAAAAGGGAACTAAACACCAATCTAATGCATATTATTGAGCCTTTTATAATATTTTGCCTTTAAAAGGTGAGGCAGTTGAAGTGAGTATGCATGTGCTGGCGCATGGTCAGGATGGTATCACCTCTGCCTCAATTTGAGCCAGGAAAAACCCTGATCAGACATATTCTGACAGCCTCAGAAGTCAGTGGCATGTTGCATCATGAAAGACGATATTGAACCAAGTGACCGTGTATGCTGTAAATCCACTGATAAAGCCCACTAATAAAGCTGTAACCATGGCAACTATAAGTGATCATGATTACTAACTTTTTTACCACTTTAACAAGCATCAAAGTCTTTTAAAGACTTATGTTCATTTTCCTACTTGCCGTTATGCCTATCTTTGGTTTTTTAAATGTATTTTTTCCTCCTCCTCTTCTTTTTTTTTACCTTGACAACACACACACACACACACACACACACACACACACACACACACACACACACACACACACACACACACACACACACGTGTCTCCATTCTGTGAAAACCAGCTGTGTACACAGTCAGTCTGACAGCAGCTCCAAGTCAGACTTTCATAAGTTCCTCAAGGACACAAAAGTACTTTAAAATGGTCAATACGAAGATGCAGCAAGTACAACGTTTAAAACACTATTAGTATTCATGGTCACATAGTCATAAAAACACATTTCAGGTCATTTAGACCAGTACAAAGCAACCACACAATTGCATAAAGACACATGCATGGTGGACCGACGTCATCAGCTCATTATTGTCCCTGAGCTGCTGAACATTCTGCTGCTGCTTGGACATTAAAGGTGAACTTGGACTTCATTTGCATTTCTATTGAAGTTTATATGGGTTTTTTTTATTCGGAGAGAAATAAGAATGTTTTTGGTGATGGACCATAAATCTGTTTGTGATCAAAGAAAGAACGTACTTTTGCAAAGCAGCAATAAAAGCCAACATCTCCTGAAGAAAGTCATATTTCTTTAAAAATATGAATAAAAATGGAATACTGTTAATTAACTAAATTAATTAATTTTTTATTAAAATACATGTAAAAAGACTATAATCTTTTACACATGTATAAAAGACTACAGTCCTCATGACTGTTGTTGGATGTTAAATGTTCAGTGTTTTTGATGATGGATGGATGAAGTTAAATTCACTCAGTGGGCTGATTTGGTGAGCTTTTTGGAGTCTGAATTGTTCCCATAGATACGATGTAACCTGCTGCATGAATAATGCATTTGGATGAAGTGTGTGCACTCAGGCGTGCAGATGGATGTGGGGTGACGTTGGGGAGGAGAAAGTCCCCTCACTAACTCTTTGACTTTATGTGGGGCCCTCTTAAACAAGTACACACACACACACACACACACACACACACACACACACACACACAATCACACACACACATTACCACACTAATACAGGCAGAGGCTCACACATCCTCATGGTAGATGTAATCTGGTGGTCATTATTGCAAACAAGGCTGTGTTGTGTTGCACCGACAAACAGTTCAGTCTCTCTGGAGTGCCTCTGGTTTAAATTATCACCACTGTTCAACGGATCCATAGACCTCAGTCTCTGTGGGGAAAAGGAAGGTCACAGGAATATTCACGCTGTGAGCGCAAAAGGTTAAGAAACAGAGCTAGTACATTTTCGTGCCCGTTTTTGTTAAAGTCCGTTTTTTAGAACTAGCTGTTAATGCTTTTATGTTATGTTTTAAACATAATTGCACTGTTTTTGTCTCTAATCGGGGGATAAAGTGATAACCAAAGTTTAATTACTTAGGCCACAAAGATTCTTAAGGCAGAGAAACATCCCTGATAGTTATAGACCAGAGCTGTCCAGCCCTGGAGGGGCGTTCCCGCTGGAAATCGACATGCCACAGAGCTCACAGGGGAAACACATCTATACCTTGCGCGCTGCTTACGCATCCGGTGGAAAGCCTGGGAAAATCAAACAGATTAAAGTCAGGTGTGTTGAAGTAGAGAAACCTCTAACGTGTGCTGGATCGGCGCCCTCAAGGACCAGGGTCGGACTTCTCTGTTGTAGAGTATTAACAGAGTACAGCCACTGTCTTTCTACTCTATTCTGTTCTTTAATCCATTGACAATTTTGAGCGTATATTTGATTAGAGAATCCAAGCTGCAGTTGTTTTTGTCTCTTGGTGTCTTACCTCCTGTCATCAGGACATCATTAGGAGGAGTGCCTTCATGGGAGCATTGTGAAACATGTTTTATGGTTTAGCAACACATTCTGGATTGTTGTTTGACTTTCGTCTCGTCAGACCACATTCAGCTCTAATAAGTCACTTTTGTCCGTGTTCTACTGGTGAAAGGCTAGCTAGGGGTATATGTACATTTTAAATGTACTTTTTTATTGAACCATATTTTGCACTCTCATCATCATCCAAAGGACTGGGTGAGAGGAGGAACAAAAAGCTGTTCTCTGTGAACACCAAATGAAAAATGAACCACTGGTTGCTCAAGTGCCTGATCCTTTTTAAATGCATGCGTTCACAATGTTGTAAAATACGGTGAGATTAACTTCACCTTCTTAACATGAGTTACCTGTTTGTTTTGCTTCAGCAGGATTAACGCATGTTGAAAATAATGTTTTTATTTTTGTTTGAATTGATTATCGTTGTTAGTGGATATTCAGTCTAAGGTAACTTGAGGCAAAAATCTTGTTTACATTCATTTTTCTGCAAACGGTTGCTGATTTCTACTCTAAACTTGACTTACTGCCTCGTAAGACCAGCACTTCATCCAGAGATGGTGGTGGATTTGGAAACGTCTATCCTTCTCTCTGTAAATGATTAACGGTGGTTCTGGACTTTTAGCATGTCTTAACCACATGCTCACATCAGCGAGTGCTCTCAGGTCTGTGTACCATAAATAACCATGTCAGCACAAGAATAACCAACCCATTTAGTCCACCCTGCCTCTCTGTGTGCAGTATGTGTGTCAGACCCGAAAAGGAAGATTAGATAGGAAGTGGGGCACCACAGCCTAGAAAAGAGCAAAGAGAGGTCTCAGGGGTAATCTGTTTTATTCTCTCTCCTCTCCTCCATCTCTCTGGTCATCTCATGACACGCCTAAATCCCCTCACTGGTGTCTTTCACTGGTCACATTCTGAGCACATCTTTGAGCGCACATCAGAAAAATCTCATTTTACCTGTTTTATTTCATAATTTTGTGTTTTTACTGATTACATTTTAAATGTCATCATTTGTTTAATGTTTGCTCAAGCATTCCCTGTGTGTACAGTTGGGGTTTGCATGTGTTGATTTTGCTCAAATACACAGTTTCTGTTTGGTTTTATAATGGGAATTATTTACGTTTTAAGATCAGCAGGAGGGTTTTAGCCATGACGAGTAAAGTTAGCATATGTGTAGCGATAAGTTTTATTGTCTGGAAAGGACAAAGATACCAACCCTGTTCTCATTGTGAACTTTCCCATGAGATATACTCTGGGGTTTATTTTGGTTGTGACTGACCGCTTATTGAACCAGCCATCTGCTTATTGGCTGGATTAACTCTGGCTCTATGAAAACATTATGGAGCTACTTTCACACATGAATGAATTGAGAAGGATTAGAAGCTTTATTCTAAATGGGTAAAAAGGAATTCACGCTAGCACAAGATCACAAGCAAAACAGTGACATGGCTTTAAAGTTTACATTACCTGTGTATTTTTTCACAATAAAGAGTTGCTGTGTGTGCAATAGAGCAGGGCCAAGTAGTTGGTGCAAACGATTGGTCCTACGCAGATTTTATGGAATGCAAAACAGGTAAAGATGTTCCCTCTGCTGTCCTTTATGAACTTTAGAAGTCTAGATCTGTCATAATTATTTTGATTGCTTCCACCACTTTAATGTCTGTTCTTTCCAGAAAAGTACATTATCAGTTCCAGTATCTGCATAACTAAACCCTCCTGAGGTACTTTAGCCACAACACAGGATCGTAAAACAGTCACATTCCACCTCATCGCCTGCTTCTCTCTCTCTTCTCGTCTTTGCGTGACGGCTGTGTGTAACTGTAGTCTGGACTCGTCACACTACAGCAGGTGTGTGTGTGTGTGTGTGTGGGGAGAAGAGCTGACTTTCTGTCAGCAGCTACTGATGAATGAAGGGATAAGGTTGGTTTTCAAGGAGGCCGGGCCACCCAGCTGAACAGATTACCATCTCACTCACACACGACCGGAGCAAACTCCTCTTCATGATAGGAATAGTACCAATGTTCAGTTTTCAGAGTTAAAATCCCCTCAAATTACATAATCTTTAAATCCTTCTCAACCGGCGACTTAATTTGTTGTCAATTTCAAAATAAGTGTCATTTAATACAGAAACAACCTGCCAGGCTGACAGAAAAGACTAATGAAGTCAATGAAAAGCCAGCCTGGATCTGCGCTGTGTGGGTGGACCAATCTGGACATGCCAACTGCACAGCTAGAATGCGGTGTTTGTGTGTGTCATGCATTTTCTTTTCTGCTAACAACTAAACTGAAAAAGCAGTATAAAAGTAGCCTGGCATCATGTCCTATATATGACTATATAGTCTGGCCATGACCCATAGAAAGAGCTCAGTCGTGGGACGGAATCTACAGTTGTCTTTCAAACTGTCTCCACGTGATATTGCACAACAAACCATGCGACATACTCACTGCTACGTTTTTCAGTCTACCGTATGTTGTCAAAGAAGATGCAAATACATCATTTTTTCCAAATAAACTTAAGTACCTCTATCTGCTTTTGACTCAATAAAAATTCTAAGTCTAAATAGTGAAAAGCTGATGCCAAAGCCAAAGGTGCCGTCGCCATCTTTGTTTTTTCACCCTGTGGCAGCAACATCCATCTTCACCAAACCGATGGAGTGCTGCGATTGGCAAGACACAAAACTGCTCAGGCCGATGGCAGACCTGCTGAGGCTACGATGTATTGTGGCAAGACCGACCGGTGTCGGTACAAGATCTGCTCGGGTGCAAGATCGGCTCGGGTCGGTCGACTGCCGATGACGTCTAAGTAGTTGATTGGCTGAACATGAACCTTACGGAATTACGTAATCACGTAACGTTATCACGTGACGTTGGTCCAGGCAAATTTTTTCTATTGGAAAGATGGACAACTTTTACAAAGAAATCCATCATTACCTCTTTGAAAATACACTTTTAGCATAGAGCTGCAAGTATATTAGGGCTGAACGATTAACTGCATGTGCAATTAAATTGCGATGTGACAAAAGGAGATTTTCTAATCGCAAAGGCTGCAATTTGGCAGCGAGTGGTTAGGGCAATGCTAATATACATGGAAAAACCCATAGGAATGCTAATGCTAATATCGCCGATTACATTATTACAAATTATGAATTAGAAACGTGCCAAATGATTACATTTGGAGTCTAATAGAAAGTAAAACTACCATCAATCAAATAAGTACAGACAGGTATTTTAGTAAAGCCAGAAAACTGTTAACTCCAGAGCTTTGGCTAGCAGCTATGAGCGTAACTGAACTACGCATGGACAAGACGTCAAAAACTCAACACAAATACTTCAATAAATGGGACACACTTCTTTCCTGCAAATACAATTTCACAGGTGTTGCTAATACCTATGATCCTTCAAGGGATGTGCTCAAAGAGGAGTTCAACATGAATCAAATATAGTGTTTTATTTTACAAATACTATTATAAATACAAACTTACGTCTTAAGAAACATTATTTTAATAATGAAACTGCTAAATTCTTTCCAACAGTATAGATGTGTAGTGTATTTTGTCCGAGTGGGTTTGCCGTACTTTGACGTCATCGGCAGTCGAAGGACCCCGAGCCGATCTTGCACCCGAGCAGATACTGTACCGACACCGCATAGCAAAACCTTTTTGCTACTGCAGCAGTCTGTCTGTATTTCTAGGCTAGCATACATAGTGATGCACTGGGACTTTCGACTGATTTTCCTAACTGAATTTTTGCATTCCTCAACAAGGCACCTTGCACTTAACTTCAAATGAATGCTTTAATAATTTTTTTCATTATTTTTGATTCATTAGATTAAAATTGTGTTGTTGAAATTGACAGTAAAAAGAAAGACATTTTATTGGCATTAATGAGAACAAATTTTATGTGGCTTGGATTTATGCAGTTTACTTGGCTGTAATATTTGCTCTTTGACCCTTTGCACGTGACTATGCATGGGAATGCCTCTTTCACCATGCTAAATGTGAAAGGAACTGTTTACACTCATTAAAACTGTCCCAAACAAGCTCGTTTTTAGCCTTATATCACTTTGATTGGGTTTACTGTTAAATGGCAAAAGCTAGTTTTGCAGTAGGCTGCGCTAACAAACAAGGGTGTAACCCAACTTGACTTTATACTGAAACTCCTTGTTATGTCCTTTCTGTGTTTCTTTTCCATTTCCATTGGTTTGATGTTCTTATCTAACAGAGTAGCAAAGTTTTTACCTTATGCTCAACACACAGAAAATGGAACACAGAAAGAAATTGTCACGTTGTGCGGAAGTTTAGGACCCAAATATGCAGATTACCCAGGATGACTCGAGTCAGTCAGGAGTTGGTAAAAGTAAAAATCCTTTTATGTAGGAATGTAGTGATGGGTCCAGCCACACAGGCACACCGGCGCATGTGTCAAGCTCATGGAGAGAAACCTGTGTCGATGCGTGTGTTGCTTTAAGAAAAAGTCACGTGACCAACACTGCTGCTGTGTCGCTCATTGCCAAGGCGCCAAACTGTGTTTATAAGGTATCGACTCTGCATCTGTCAGCGGGATGAGTCGCCGTGAAAAAATTACCATTTCAAAGATAAAACAGACATTCCTCTTTACATCAAGAAAATGGAGCCAGAGAGAAAAAGAAAAGTTTCTGCTGTGTGGGATCATTTTGATCTTTTAACTGCAAATAAGGTACGTGTTTGTCTTTCCTTGTTTCTGCGCATCTGTCAGAGTTGAAAACAGCAATGTGACTGACTCTGTGTAAATTATTTATTTAATTTTATTTGGGTTAAATGTCGGATCTGCTCAGCGGAGTTGTCTTATACAAATAAGAGCACTTCCTCAATGCTGAGACATTACAGTCAAGCATGAAAAAGAAGAGGAAGCAAAGAACGAACACAGGTAGACCTATATAGACACTGGACGTGCTTTGTCACAGTTGTTTTACTAATATATGTTTTATTATTTTGAAATCTAGAATCTAGGAAGATTGCTCTGGACCAAGCAGTCCTGAATTTTATTATAAAGGACCGCCAACCCCTGAGCATTGTGAAGCTTGACGGGTTCAGGGGGTTGATTCAGATCCTTGGTCCATCTTACGTTTTGCCAACCAGAAAGGTTTGTATACACAATGTCTCAGATAGCTGCTGTTACTCATGTAATACATACAGTGCTTAACAGATGTTTTAGACCATCGTCTGATTTAAGGTTTATGACACAGCAAACAAAAATAAACACTTGTTGTGATTCAAATATCATGCATGCTTGAATAATTTCCGTCCAGTGTGTCAGCTCACATTTGGGTATAAAACTGGATTCAGTTTTAAATTCCTACCTTCTATTCAACAGGGCAAAACACAGAGAACTTCATAGCTGGATGTTTTTCTTGCTTTAATGACAGGTGGTCTAATTAATGTGTTAAGTACTAAACTGATTTGATTTTGATTCATTTTCAGACGGTTAAGGAAATAATGGCCAAAAGCATGCGGAGGAACTCGAACGAGTAAAAAGGGAAGTACAGCAAGCTGTGGCAGTGAGTATAACAGCTGACATGTGGACCTCCTTGAACATGGAGGCTTACTTAGCTCTTACTCACTACATCAATGATAATATGCAGTTGTGTACATCTGTGTTGGGAGTCAAACACTTTCCACAAAGTCACACTGCTGACAATCTGGCCCAAGTCAAAAGGGGCATGATGGATGACAGCGCCATAACAAATAAGGTAAGGTGTCTTGTGACCGACGCAGCACCAAACATGATAGCAGCAACACAAACTCTTCAAATTCGACATTCAATCTGCATTGCACACAAACTAAATTTAATAGTCAAAAAATCCTGTGATCAGATCCCTGAACTTTCATCCATAAGACACAAATCTAGGCAAATTGTATCATTCTTCAGATCCAGCACCACAACAAAAGAGAAGCTTGCTCAAGTGCAGCAACAGATGGGACGGCCCACCTTGAAACTTGTCAATGAGGTACTAGCACGTTGGAACAGCACATATCAGATGCTGTCACGGCTACATGATGAGAAAGAACCAGTGTAGGTATCTCTTGACTCGCTCCAAACAGATTTAAATCCACTCACAGCTGATGAGTTCAACATCTTAACCCTTTGATGTATAATGGTCACTACAGTGGACAGGTACTCAAAATTGTTATTTATTTATTTTTGCTATTAAGCACAGCTGTTGAAGACTTTATTGCATTTGAGCCCCTCCATTTGAGCTTCAGCAAGTCAAGCCAACATATTTCATGTTAATAATGCGCGCTGTCCACTGAGATGGACATGTAATAAATTATTTGTAAATTAACAAAATGTTACAAAAATATTTGTTGAAATTTGTGTCATTCACACCTAAAGATGAATGAAAAAAATTGTTTAAAAAATCATGGTTGAAGATTTCATAATTCATGCATCAAAGGGTTAAGGGAAGCACTTCTTGTGCTGGCCCCTTTCCATCAGGCCACAGTGGAGTTGTCTGAGGAGAGGAGAGTTTCAGGATGATGAAAATGCTAAATTGTGCACTTGAGCGGAACTCTTTACATCTACACACACAAGCAGCCACACATCTCCATGACCAACTTAGACGTCGCGTCACAGACACTGCTTCCAATCTGGAGTCATCAAGTGTGTTGACCCTATCAACACTTGTAGACCCCAGATTTAAAACACTCGGATTTCATAGTTCCTCCAAGTGTAGTGAGGCTGTCAATCGCCTGAAAATGGAGTGTGCTGCAGTAATTGGTCACACAACATCTGAGCCACAGCCTGGACCTTCATCAGAGCAGTTACCCACTTCAGGCAAGTTGTTCAGTATTATCAGTTTATTTTCACATTTGTTTTGTTGCTAATGTGTATTAATACAGAGTAGAAGACAAAAATTAAAACTTCTATGTATTTTTTATTATTTCAGATCATCTGTGGCAGCAGCTTGATCAAGAGGTTGGCAGACAAACCACCAATGCAACAGCTGACTCGATCATTGAGGTCCAGCGCTACTTAGCAGAGGGAAAAATTTCAAGACAAGAAAATCCATTAACATACTGGGGGAACCGGAAGACATCCTACCCACACCTTTTCCACCTGGCTTTACAGTTTTTGTGTACTCCAGCTTCTTCTGTGCCCTGTGAACGCGTGTTTTCGAAAGCTGGTGAAATAGTGTCCAAAAAACGTAATATACTAAATGCCAAAACATTGGATAAACTTATTTTTCTGAATAAAAATGTATTAAAAAAATACTTTTGAGTCAATGACACTGAAATGGGTAATATCACATTCACAACACTGTCACTTTAATTGTCACTTGGTATCATTCACAGAATATTTAGAGGTGTATATATTTTAAATTTAGAAGTTTAAAGTAATACCATATGAAGTAGGCCTACAATAGCTTACAGTGTATACAAGTATGATTAGGTCATTGAATCAGAGTCTGTTGTGTCTCCAGTATGTTGCCTGCAATGATATTTAAAGTCCAGTAGGTGTCATTGTAGAGCAAAACAGCAGCACTGTGTCGACACAGTATCAATACTATTTGGGGAATGTGCTGAAACGCTTCATGAGGCTTCATCTACCCATCACTATAGGAATGAAAGAACAAAAATTTATCCAAGGCAGCGAGCCAAAAGTCCAAAAGTCCTGGAGCACAGGACACCCAAAGCTCTCTTATAGCACCTAAAACCTAGAGACAAAAAGCTCACAAAGAGCACGAAGACCTGGAGACAAGAAACTCAGACAGAGCACGAACAAACTGACAACAATACAATGGACCGACACCAAACAGAGACAAGACAGGGCTTAAATACACAGGGAGAACAATTAAGGAAACAGGAAGCAGGTGTGTGGAGTGAGGGCTGGAGGGAAGGCAGGTGACAATGATTACCTAAATGGGGAAACAGAACCAAAGGAGGACACCTAAACCTAAAACTATAAACACAAAACTAAACCTAAAGACTGAGGGAAGGACTCTCACACACACACATACACTCACACACATACACTGAGCTGGGGAGTGGACACACACACACACACACATACACTAACACACACATACACTCACACACACATACACTGAGCTCGGGAATGACACACACACACCGAGCTGGGGACAAAGAGGCTGGAGCTACAACTGGAGGGGCTGAGGATGACTAAATGAACACCGGACCTGATGGAATGATATGAAGGCCTACAAACAGAAGACACATAAATGAGACGCAGACAAAGGACACATGAGGGCGCTATGAGACACAAAAGGGAATCTAGAGAGGGATGGAGAGACATCAGGAGACACATGAAGGAAGACGCAGACCATGACAGAAATGTGAAAAAGTAACAAGCTGAAGACATAAGAGCAGCCAAATTAGAAGCAGGTAGCACAATAAAATTAATCGGCAATAACAGACCACAGCCATAGAGAAAACCACATTATGGACTGGGAAAACACATGGGTTGATCTACGTTCCTACCCTCACCTATGGTCATGAGCTTTGGGTAGTGATCGAAAGAACGAGATCGCGGATATAAGCGACCAAAATGAGTTGCCTCCGCAGGGTGGCTGGGCTCTCCCTTAGAGATAAGCTGAGAAGCTCGATCATCCGGGAGGTGCTCCTCCACATGGAGAGGAGGCAGTTGAGGTGGTTCAGTCATCTGATTAGGGTACCTCCTGGAAGCCTCCCTGGTGAGGTTTTCTGGGCACGTCCAACTGGGAGGAGGCCTAAAGGGAGATCCAGGACATGTTGAAGGGACTCAACGACCTCAAGGTACCAAGGTTCGTAGAAAAGACAGCAGTACGACCAGGTCGGTCCAGAGTCGTCTCCCGGATCACAACAGATAGATGAAATCGTTTGCATCCAGAACAGCTGTTTCTGAAAAGCTGAAGGAACCGTTTTGCTGTGTCAGCGGTAGGCAGCTTTTAGCAGGGTTTTTGACAGCTTGTCAAAAATGCTCTGGGTTAAAGAGGGTTTGCTATGGATGACCTGTCCGTAGCTTTCTCTAGAACTGACTCACTGTCAAGTGAGCTCTGTTTTAATATTCTCATATTATGATTTCTTGGCCAACCGGGACGGGCCAAGTTGAGGGGTGTTAACAAGCAAACCTCAGAAAACACGCCTTCTTTCAGATACAGGATGCTCTGATTTGTGGCTAAGAAAATATCTATGTGTCATGACGTTTAACTTAACTTTAATTTATCTCTAATGAACCTTGTGTCTGAGTGTAGATAATGATTAACTTGTCATTTCAAACTTCAGTCATTCAAGCACAGATTAATCAACCTTATTAATTTAAGCACATATTAATCAAAACATTATTATTATTCATATAACCTTCGTTCATTTCATTTCACGATTGATTAACTCGTATGAGCTGAAAATAGTCACTTTATTCAGAGAGTGAGCAATCCTGCAGTGTTATCAAAAGAAGGCTTTGTTTGGGAACACAGCCTGACATCTTGTTCCTCCTGAAATGTCAACAAGGCTGCAGTATCCTTCTGGGTTTGTTGGAAGCTAGGATGTAAAATCCACTTTAGAGAATGGAATTCATGTCTGCAGATGACCGGTGGCATGTAGGTCAATCTGTAGGTGAAAACTGACCATTGCTGGACGTTGCAGACGACAAGGATAGATGGCAGAGCTTAATCAAACGGACTAAGCCCTTAATGTATTTACAAACGTTT